TGAGTTAAGATGTCAGAGGTTCTGGTTGAGGCCTTCGAGGTCTCGGCCTTCGGGCGTAGGATTCGCCGTTGGTTTTGGCCCCTTTGGGGCTGGGGGTCCTTGTCGGGCTTACTACAGGAGCCTTGCGTAGATTGAGATGTATGTATATTTCGTGTGAATTATTGGGCTGCTGTACTCGGCTAGGTGACTTGATGACTTTGGGCTGCGGGATTTAAGAGGCTTAGGCTTCCCGTAAAGGGTGGTCACGGCACCACATTTTGGCGGGAGATCTTGCAACACAGACTCTTGCCTGCGCTGTCTTGGGATCAGCTTCAACATGGTGTGTCTTCGTGACTGTCGCGACAGAAGAGCAAAACTCAGCAGTGCTTTTCGTGGAAGGAATCCAAATGAAGCATAGCATGGTAGCCATACCCGAATACCTCGACTGGCTATTCAGGCCCATACTTCAGGAGGACGGACCTCGTGGGGCAACGGAGGCTGAAAACCTCTGAAGCCTCCGGCGGAAGTGTTTGCCTCCGCAGACTGTACTGCCGCGCCATCCTTTCATGGAGGGATGGGTCAGGACGGTTTCCGGGGCCTTGAGTTTGCTCGGCTGTTTGTTGCTATCCCTCAGGCAACAGTATCCGTGCGAGTCTAGGGAACCCCAGATTGAACACATCGGGTTCAGATCGCAGCGATGCAGCTATGCTGCTGGATTCAACTAGTACCGCAAAACCACAACGAATTTAAACTCCTAACAGTAGCACTAGCACTTTCCCAATGCTCGTTCTACCCCGAAAACCCCAGCCTCTCACAACATAAGTGGATCACCTTTGTCCGGTAACCCTTCCGCTGACTTGTGCTAGATTGAAGGAACATTGCCTCGAAACCCGCGCGTGAACATCTTGTTGACGAGGTTTGGCTTCTCTCTGGGGCCGCAGTGCATCGATGCCATCTTTCTGGATTGTAGGATGTACGATAGAAGTCGAGATCGCTCGAAAATGATCAAGGCAAGAGCCGCAAAGAGGCTATCAGATCGGCTATCAGAGAATCAAGGCGGCCTTCATCGGCGACGGCAATGCTCCGGAGCCTCTGCAGCTGAACACGGGGCCCCTCTAAGCTCTTGTTTCTCGGATTTCTGGAAGACTCTGAGGGTCCCCTAGAATGTTATGCAAAGGCCTAGGGGGCTTGATGCTGGGTCTTAGGGTGTCGGGCTCGCACAACCCAAAAGCAATAACATAACTTTAGGGCAGCAGCGTAAGGAGCGAAATACTGGAAGTCGTTCCGTAACACTATCCACAGCGCACCAACTGCTTCGATCCTCAACCCAAATGAGCCGCGGCCACCCCCTCCCCACGATCGCGTAAAAAACTGTCACTTTGACTCTTTCGCTTTTTCATACAGGCAGTCGTATTGCGGAACTTCTGCTGCTAGAACAGTGTTTGTCATGAGCATTACTACGAGCTTGGTCGCAATAGCGACCTATGTTGCTAAAACTACAATGCTAACGACTATCTGTGTTTGACATGATATGGCTAGCACAATAGTGATGAATGCGACTACTAGCACAAACACTTGCCGCGATTCTCACCGTATACCCATGATCTACACCTGAACCCCAAGCCCTCAGCCCTCAACATCCCGAAACTCGAAGCCGACATGCCTCAGAACCCTAAAACCCTAAAACCCTA